GTTATAGGCTAGCCAGTCTCTCTGCTAACAGCTGGTTATAGGCTAGCCAGTCTCTCTGCTAACAGCTGGTTATAGGCTAGCCAGACTCTCTGATAACAACTGGTTATAGGCTAGCCAGTCTCTCTAATAACAGCTGGTTATAGAAAACCTTGCCAGTTTAAAAGAAACTATCATTAGTATGTATTTGTATCCAATGTGTGAAGTCTTGTATATTGACATGTTACTACATTATCCTTAACATTGAATGTATTAGATATATGTTTCTGTACAGACAACCAGTAGACACTTGTCATGTTATAAAAGATGGCATGAGGACCAGTTTGTCACCTTGGTATTAGCTTAAGAACACTGTTGGTTGTCTGAATGCATTCATCTGAACAGGGAAAGTGACATGGGAAATACCTTTTATGTCTTTGTGTATATATATATATATATATTTATATGGGTATAATTATTTATTTAATCTACAGTATTGATGTGTGTGTGTGTGTATATATATAATTATTTAATTAATCTACAGTATTGATGTGTGTGTGTGTATATATATAATTATTTAATTAATCTACAGTCTTTATGTGTGTGTGTGTGTGTGTATATATATATGTATATTTAGATGGAATTTTTAGATACATGTGAAACTAACATTACACAGACAGTTATAATAAATTTAACCACATGTGCTATTACTGAGAAGAACTATTTTATTTTCTCTTGAGAATCAAGATGATCATTCAGCAACTGAGAAATTCCAAAAGCTCAATGAAGCCTTCAGAACTCTTGTAAAAGAAGATGATTCGGACAGTATATGTTTTGACGATGATGATGATGACCTATTCTGATTTTGAGAAAGCTTACGTAAGGACATTAATTGATTTCACGTAGTGCGTATTATAGGACAGTCTCCATTTATACACATTATATTTTTATAACACGGGTTTCATTCAGAAAATGTTTGTTACATTTGATAAAGGTATAGAAATGTCTATAAGATGGTCAATATATTTTAATGACAAATCTTCCCTATAAATACTCATATTTACACTCATGCAAGTTCATTCTAACCTAACTGTACACCTAGGTTTGTATCAAACAGTAACAACTATACAATAGTTTATATGTAGATTAACATTACTTACTTACAGTAGTCTATATGTAGATTGACATTACTTACTTTACACTTAGGTTTGTATCAAACAGTAACACCTATACAGTAGTCTGTATGTAGATTAACATTACTTACTGTACACCTAGGTTTGTATCAAACAGTAACAACTGTACAGTAGTCTATATGTAGAAGTTGTTACTGTTTGATAAACAGTTGTTACTGTTTGATACAAACCTAGGTGTACAGTAAGTAATGTCAA